AACGGTGCAACGAGCGGCAGCAGGTGCACGCCAGCAGCCGCTGGACCACGAGGAGCTGGAGCTGTTGAAACCCAGTGAGCGCGACGCTGGCGCGTTCGGCTGGGCAAACAACGTGACGCCAGAAACCAGGCTGGACGAGATCCATTAACGCTGCCTGCGCTGCTGCCGCTGCCTGGGGCGGGCGGCGCCGTGAGCGAGCTGGTGTGGCGGTCGGTGGGCGCGGGCCACGTGGTGGCTTAAGGTGCGCTGGTGGACGCGACTCACATAACGCTGTATTGTCAGACGAGCCCGGCAGGATATGCAGCCCGTCTGCTGTGGCGCTGCATTGACGGAAGCAGATAACGACGCGCAGCCTGATCCAGGCGACCGCCGCCCAGCGCCTGGGCTGGTGCTGAGAGAGGGACCACGGCGAGCCGGCGCTGACGGCCACGTACACCGTGCTGTTGCTCGCTGGTGGAGAGCGGCCAGGCGCCCAAGGCCTCGCTGCGGGTGTTATGGCGCCGCTGGCGCGGAGACGGCGCTGGTGGATGTCAACGGTACCTGACGCCATCCGCGCCGTGTCCAGCCTGCTGGTGCTCACGCCTGCTGCTGTATCGGGCGTTATGGTACCGGCGCCCAGCGAGGGCGCGTGCGGGCCGGGGAAGCCCACGCTGGTGTGTTCCAGCGCGGTGGGGAGCTGGTCGTACTCTCAGCAGAGGCGGCAGAGGGTGTGCTCTGGGGAGGGTCCGCCCAAGACCGACCTCATGGCCTTCAGCCCCAGCCTTCCACCCGGTCCCATTGGCGGGAATAGAGAAGAACAGCTGGATGTGGATGTTGATCTTTCTGCCAAAGTGAGTACAGATTTTTAAATCCTTTCAAAAATCGTTTTTTATTCTTCAATATTTCTGTTCTCTTGGAAACTTATGTTTTTGGTGTTAGAGTTTTCCAGGGTTTTGTGGTTAAAATATTTGAACTCCTTGTGACAAATGTTTTGAACTGAATTAGCAATAAGTACTGAGAGCCAAACTTGTAGTGTTGTTGTTGTTCTTGTTGTTTTTGTTGTTGTTAATAGGTGCAGTAGTAGGATTATTTTATTGCTAAAGATAGAAACCAAATATATTTTCTTGGGTGAATTGTATTGTTTAGAATATTTGACTCCAGTTGTGTTTTACTAATCCTTGCACAATGCTTCAATAGCTTTTGCCACTTTTTTTTTTGGAATTCCTACTAGATGTTAGTCCAAATGTCACTGGTTCATTTTATGAGCTCACCATAAATGCTCGCCACTTCTTTTGGTTAATATATCCTTAGTTTCAAATATTAGTTTACTAAGCCTGTTGTCTGTATGAAGCCTCTTTTACTCATTTATTCATTTGTCTGAAGTCTTAGTTCCTTGTTTTTACTTGAACATGATTCATTTTAGTCCTTGTGCTCACATTTGGTAATACGTTGTATTGTGGCTAGTTTCTCAATTGGGTAAAGAAAACCACACACACACCAGAATAATAATTTTATTGGTTTAGAATTGTATCTTTAGGAGCACCTGGGTGGCTCAGTCGGTTAGTGTCCGTCTTCGGCTCAGGTCCTGATCTCGCGGTTTGTGAGTTCGAGCCCCACATGGGGTCTGTGCTGACAGCTCAGAGCCTGGAGCCTGCTTCGGATTCTGTGTTTCTTTCTCTCTCTGCCCCTCCCCCGCTTGTGATCTGTCTCTCTCTGCCTCTAAAAAATATATGTAAAAAAAATTAGAATTGTATCTTTGTTCATCTTCAGTTTCTCACTACTTTAATTAGTAAGCATTGAAAAAATCAATAGTAAGTGAAATTTTATACTTCCTTCAGTGTATCTTCGTTTAGAAAACATTGGTTTTGAAAGTATATTATTAATTTTGTTAAGAATTGTTTTCCATCAGATGAGGCTCCTGGGTGGCTCAGTTCGTTGGGCATCTGACTTTGGCTCAGGTCATGATCTCATGGTTTGTGGGTTCAAGCCCTGCATCGGGCTTTGTACTGACAGCTCAGAGCCTAGAGCCTACTTTGGATTCTGTGTCTCCTTGTCTCTCGCTGCTACTCCCCTGCTTGTGTGCTCTGTCTCTCTCTAAAATAAATAAACACTTAAAAAATTTTTTAAATTGTTTTCTGTCAGAAAACTTTGTTGAGAATGCTACTTTCTATCTAATTTTAAAACTACTCTACTAGCAAAACTTATTAATCATTAACCTATTTTGCAAACACTTAGTAGTAAGGATGCTAATGTCCAAAAACTCCAGTAAGTCAATGTTATTACTTGTGACCTTCCTCTGAATACTAACCTATTAAGGTGTGTTATATAGTACGTAAACCCTCCAAATAACTGCAACCAAATTAAACAAAATGAAATTATTTTGTAGTCATTTCTCTATTTAGCATTTGATCATTTCTCCAAATAGATGGACTTCCATTCAAGTTTCCTTGCCACTGGAAACTGAACCTTAGCCATATTAGAGATTAGAAAACAAGCAATTATTTCTAAACCATGAAAGACAAAATGCAAATACTAACCTTGCTTGTGGAAGGTGATGGGTCCCAGTGTATATAATTATATAGAATATATTCACCTGAGTTATAACTACAACTTACTACTTCCTGTATGAGCATCCTTATCAAAACCTAGTTAATACTCAGTGACATTGTGGGCTGAAGCTAACATATACAATAGAAAGATAATCCTTTTTTCCCATTTTCATTTCAATTTCTCTCACTATCCTTTGTTGACTCCTGTCCATCAAATGTTCACCACAACATGTCCAACCTGAATTCACATGTTATTTCATTAGGCCTTATTTTCATCCTATTGTAATTATAGGGTCATGCAAAGTTTTTGTCTCCCAGGATGTGGAACGTCAGTCTTCAAATCGAGCTGTCCTCTTCAAATTCTTGACTAACAAGATTCTCAGTTAATAAGACATTTTAAAGACTTTTGAGTTTTTCTCTTTAGAAATATATTGCTGCTCTACCAGATTAATACTAATCGTTCTCACATAAATATCCTTTATATTCTTTTGTACTCCTCATCTATGCATTTAATTATTTTCAAAATAAAGTAAATGGACAGGGAGTCTTTTCCATTGTCTTCCAGTGTGTTTGACATGTGTGATCATTTTTTGCAAAACTACAGTTTGGGTCCTCAGACAGAGGAACAATGCTAATTGATGTTTTAATTCAGAAAAGGATATTTTTGTGTGAGTGTGGCTCTTCATAGAATGGAAGCCTAAAGCCAAAAGCCATTTTCAGTAGATTGATATTTTGTCCTAGACAACCATGAGGGAAAGAGGTTTGTGAATATAATAGGCAAAGAAAGCTTGAAAATAATTATCATTAAAAAAGAAAAGAATTATGTCCTTTTATGTTAAGTTTCCTTATGTTAGGAAAATGTATTGTGCTCTAGTTATTGAGAATTCTTCATTGGCTATTAAAACTCAGATGTCTCTAAGATCATGACTGCCAAAAAGCCAAATGAAACTAAGCTAAAATCCAGGTTTTCACTATGCAAATTGAAATATATCTTAATTAGGGCATCATATAAGGAAAATATTTTTGTATCTCTGGAAAATAATAGAGGCTGCTGCTGCCTAACTAGCTTTGTGAGCACCTTAACTTAATGCATTTTATTAGGCAATTGAAGAGAACCAAACCATTCTATTAGGTAAATATTCAGGAAATACCTGGTATGTATTCTGAGCTCTTAAACTAATAAGATACAACTATTCTCTTTAAAAATTTGTATTTTATAAAAGAAGGCTCCAGCTATTTGGATCTTTGTACTTATTACATGACACTCCTGTCATTAGACATACATACCCAAATGCCTAAAAAGGATAAATTAATGTAATAAATGGCCCAAGTGATTCAGTCTGTATGCTATAGTATATAAAAGAGAGTAAAATTACCTGCTCAATTGGTTTAATCATGAAAGTCTTCATTTCATTGGTCAAGAAAATTTTTAATGGTATAAAATGGGGAAAATTGCTGTATGAGGCATTTGGAAAAGATGGATCGTACTTATGAGGATGAATGATTATGTTTATTGGGTGAAAAATATTGTTGGAAGCCGGAAGTTGTCCACTAGGACTAAAATACATGAGCACAGTACAAGAAAATAGAAATGTATGTACACTAGACACTGGAGAACAGGCAAGTATTTATAAATCATAAGAGACAAATTGAGAATACCAATCTTGATTGTTGGAGGTGAGTGTATTTGTTAATAAAATTATTTGGAATACTTTCCCCACACTAATTATATATTACAACATCGTAGTTCCTTCTTAAAGCTCTTTGCACCTTCAGCCCTGAGGTGAATTAATGAAGACTTTCAGTTAAGTGCTGGTAATTTCTGCTTCCTTTTTCAGACATTTTAAAAAGTCCCTTTCAAAGACTTATTCTTGGCATTGGAGGTTTCCTAGTTCAGAGGGTTCTTTGAAGTCTTCAACACCAGAAATATGAAATACAAAGATCAAAAGTGTGTCATAATTAATAACTATTTCCCCCCATTTTCAGGAACACATATAATCAGTCAAGAATTTTCCTAATCAACACTTAACAATTCTGTTTGCAAAATGTGTATTAACTCCAGTTGGGTCTCTATAAATAGTTAAAACCTGTATGAAAAAAGGATTTCCACTGAAGTAAAAGTTGCCCCTGTGGTGAAACTAAGGGTCACATTCAATCAGAGGTACAAAACGTGTAACTTAGTAGCACAAAATGTGTTGCTATTCTCCAACAGCATTAAAGTACGCGGAATGGTAAAAGAGTAAGACTGAGCAGTATCAGAATTTATTACTTACGGTTTGGAGCCACATGATGTCGCTCTGTACCATAAAATTGATCTGCTAGAGAAAAAGAATATCCCTTCTGTTATAAAGAAGCTGCATCCACCATTCAGATAGAAATGGAGGATACATCGGCATAGACTGAACGGTTAGAAGATATTTCTTGATTTTGAAACGAGATCCCTTAATGAAAACAAAGCACTGCGGGCTCGAGATGGAGTTTTCCTGGGCAAGCGGCCAGGAATCCAAGCGTCTGCTGCTCTCACTTCTATTCCTCGCAGCCTGGAGGGCGGGGAGTGGCCAGGTCCACTACTCGGTCCCGGAGGAGGCCAAACACGGCACCTTCGTGGGACGCATCGCTCAGGACTTGGGGTTGGAGCTGGCGGAGCTGGTGCCACGCCTGTTCCGGGTGGCGTCCAAAGGCCAGGGGGACCTTCTGGAGGTAAATCTGCAGAATGGCATTTTGTTTGTGAATTCTCGCATCGACCGCGAGGAGCTTTGCGGGCAGAACCTGGAGTGCAGCATCCATCTGGAGGTGATCGTGGACAGGCCGCTGCAGGTTTTCCATGTGGAGGTGGAGGTGAAGGACATTAATGACAATCCTCCTGTGTTCCCCGGAACACAAAAGAATCTATTTATGGCGGAATCCAGGCCTATTGACACTCGGTTTCCACTAGAGGGCGCATCGGATGCAGATATCCGGGCCAACGCTATGCTGACCTACACACTGAGCCCCAATGAATATTTCTCGCTGGAAAAGCCGTCCGATGACGAGCGGGTAAAACGTCTTGGACTACTACTAAGGAAATCTTTAGACAGGGAAGAAGCTCCAGAAATTTTTTTAGTGCTCACAGCCACTGATGGCGGCAAACCTGAGCTGACTGGAACCGTTCAGTTACTCATCAAAGTGCTGGACGCCAATGACAACGCCCCAGCTTTTGACAGAACACTCTATGAGGTGAAAGTACAAGAAAATGTTTCTAATGGAACGTTGGTAATGAAACTAAACGCCTCAGATTTAGATGAAGGCTCGAATGCAGACATTATTTATTCATTCTCAACTGATATTTTACGAAATGTAGAATCCAAGTTTCACATAGATCCAATTACTGGAGAAATTATGGTAAAGGGATATATCGATTTTGAAGAAAGAAAATCCTATGAAATTCTTGTAGAGGGTATTGATAAAGGACAGCCCCCACTCTCTGGCCATTGTACAGTTATGGTGGAAGTCGAGGACACCAACGATAATGTTCCAGTAATGGAATTCAAGTCCCTGTCACTCCCAATCAGAGAAGACGCTCCACTAGGCACGGTCATCGCCTTGATCAGCGTGCATGACCTCGATTCTGGTGCCAACGGGCAGGTGACCTGCACCCTGTCACCCCATGTCCCCTTCAAGCTGGTGTCCACCTTCAAGAATTACTATTCGCTGGTGCTGGACAGAGCCCTGGACCGCGAGAGCGTGGCGAACTATGAGCT